TAGTGCCACAGCGATGAATGTTTAGTGATATTTGTAAGTTTGATTTGCAACTGAGAGTAAAAGAAACTTTGACTGTCTATGAACGTGAAATATTAGCGATTCTTCTATAATTCATCGTAAACCCCATAAGCATAAAAACCCACCCTAGGATCAACGTATACCAATGTCATAATATAATCCATATAGTGCGAATACATATGTCGCTGCGATGGAACATGCTGTTTAATTAATTAAGGAATTCGGTGGTTTTTCTACAACGTTTTTTTTTCGAACAAAAAAAATTCGATCGACAAGACCTTGCCAACCAAAATTGTGGGCGAGGAGGCGTAGTCAGGGGAGGGGATACAAAATACGCAGTTATACGAAGAGTTGAAAAATGAAAAAAATGAAAGTGGACAGGTACCTTTATAGGATTTCAAAAGGGAAGAGGCAAAGTTAAGGTAAGGTCAACGGAATCTGATTCTTCATTTACAAACCTAAAGAACTCAGTAAGTTCTGGCCAAAGCCCACACATTGGCAATGCGCTTTTTTCACAGTCTGTCCATTCCTTTCTCACTTGCATATAATGGCATAAATCGCGGTTTTTTCACGGGCATATTCGCGCACTTGGTGGTACTTAACCGTGTGTGCTAGAGCGGTGATGAATCGCCAACCTAATGGCCAACTGCGACGTTGACACGCACTCACACACTTATGGCTCCCATACACACATCATAAAAGCCTTGGAGTCGTTCGGAACTCACCCGGCAGTCGTTGGGAACCATGGTCAGGCACGAGTATGCTGCTCAGTTCGTGTTACTTCTTTCATCGAAGATGTCTTTTCTACTACGCCCATGTCCTTGATAAGAGCATTATTCAAAGAGAGGTGGGCGCGAGAAAGGGGCAGGGTTGGAGATGGCAGCTGGCTTTGAAAAACGAACTGACCCCATGCTTCGTAACAATACGAAGTGAATTTCCAAAAACAAACACCAATTCTATGGGATTTTCTACCTGCACCCTAATTTTCTAAGGATTTGCAGTTGCCGTCTGAGATCTAGAGCTCCATACGGTGTTCATAGTCTCTTAATAAGGATGGATTCCGGGTAGAGCGATAGTGACCCTGTCAGGCACGTTTTTCACTGCAACGCTTGAGGCCCCGTGCAGGAGGAAGGGATGATCATCAGCTCGGAATATACCAGAAAGCCGTTACCGAAGGTGTTGTTAAAATGGTGAAGACAATAATATGGATGAAAAAGCATTCTGATCTTGCTGAATGTACTTCGCAGTGCAATTGGTCATAAGGATCCGTGTTCGCATCGCGTTATTGAGGACTACTGTCATTCAACTTGAGTCTAATCTCGAAATTCTCTGAGAATCATGTTGCTGTGAGTCCTTTCAGTCTCGATGAAGGGTTGGCCTTCAGAAGCCCATGCGTCACGTTTTTAAACGGCTGTCTGCTCCAATAGTACCTCTCCATTCTCAAAGTTGTTGAACGGAAAGTTTTGCAGAAAAGAATAGGTCATGAGCAC